GCAAGAAGATGCTGCCCCGCTGGCTACGAGGCCCTTTGAGTCAGCGTCCTGTGTCTTCTTCTGTGGGTTAACTTCTAGGGTGAAGTCACAGACCCTTCCCGGAGGCTTGACAGAAGCGGGAATGGAATTAGGGCTCAGGAGCTGTTGGGGACCTGAGCAAGGAGAGGTCTCCAAGACCTTTAAAATATGTCTGCCTAGGGCACAGGGGTTGGCAAACTGTGGCTCTAGAGCCATCTGCAGCTCCTTTGATTTGTGTATGTAGCTCTGACATAAAGCTGAAAATTGTTAAAGGATCTTATTCAGATGATGGTGATTTTGTTACATTTGTAAAAATATATTTATGGCTCTTGAATAACTTGCAAATTGTTATTCAACTTCTAAATTGTTGTGAGGGACAGGATTGGCTCTTCTGTCTCAAAAGTTTGCTGACCCCTCTCCCACAGCAGTATTTCTCGGGCAGGGGCATTTTCCCCTCCCTGGCAGATGTCAGGTGTTTGGAGACATGGCTGGCTGTCGTAGGTGGAGGTTCCTACCGGCAATTCCTGGACAGAGGATCCTGGGTATCCTACACTGCACGGGGTGCCTGCATGGAGCCAAGACTTAGCCAGCCCCACACCAATGTGCTGAGGCCGAAACTGGCTGGCCCAGAGCAGGAGGTGGTATGAAGACTGAAGAGCTCACAGAGGATGTGCCCTGCTCCTGCCTTGTGTGCTCCCAGACTCACCTGGCCTTTACCACCTCTGACACCGTCTCTGCCTCGCTCTCATGCCGCTTCCCGGTTCCCTCCCTCATAACCACTCTCTGGGGTCCTTCTTTAAGGGCATAAATAGAGATGTTATTCAAAACCATATTATGAGTTTAAGACCAGCACAGAGGGAGCATGGGGAGGCTGGCAGGGGATGAGGGTAGACAGGTGTCAGGTAAGCATTGCAGAGAATCACCAGGAGAATCTAGGGGATCAGGCTCAGATTCTTTTGGATGGGGATGGGGCTGGATGGAGGCCTGCGGTTACATCTGTCATCTCTAACAAGACCCACTGCCAATGCTTTCCGAGGGAAGGGAACGCTGTGGGTTCTGAGCAAACAGTTATGTGACGTCACATTTGAAGAGAATCGGTTTGACTCTTTGTTGTTGTTAGGTACCATTGAGTTGGTTCCGACCCACAAGACCCCACGCACAGCCAAACAAAACACTGGCCAGTCCTGCACTGTCCTCACAACTGGTCCTATGCCCAAGTCCATTGTTGAAGCCACTGTGTCAACCCATTTGGCTGGGTCCCCTCTACTTGACACCAAGAGGGATGTCCTTCTCCAGGGACATGTCCAAAGTAGGTGAGATGAAGTCTCACCACCTTGCCTCTAAGGGGCGTTTTGGTTGTACTTCTTCTAAGACAGATTTGTTTGTCCTTTTGGCAGTCCATGGTACTTTCAGTATTCCTTGCCAGCACCGTCGTGCACATGCATCGGTTCTTCTTTGGTCTTCCTCATTCCAGCGTCGCTCTCTCACCCGTGAGTATCGCGGTGAAGAAGATGAAAGCCCTCTGAAAGCCAGCCCTTGAGGCGCTGGCTTAAAAGAACAAGGATAGAAAGTCTTCCTTCCCCTCCTCCGCGTAGCCACCGCGAACACGCTCATGGCGGCAGCAGTCAGGAGATCCAACAGCGTGTTGCATTGGCCAGGTCTGGGCAAAAGACCTCTTTAGAGTAATGATGGGCAAGGACGTCACTTTGAGGTCTAAGGTGCACCTGACCCAAGCCATGGTATTTTCAGTCACCTCATATGCATGGGGAAGTTGGACATTGAATAGGAAGATGGAAGAAGCGACGCATTTGCATTATGATGCTGGTGACAAATATTGAATGAATCATCGACTGTCAAAAGAAGAAACCATCTGTCTCTTTAGAGGCAAGGGTGGTGAGACTGCACCTCACGTACTTGGACATGTTGTCCCTGGCGAAGGACAGCAAGCATGGTAAAGTGGGGGGGCATCCAA